CCATGGTGTAGCTTTGTGCTTAATTAGAAACAAATCTTAATGTAGAAGAATCCTGCCCCCAAGTGGCACTGCGGTATGTCTACAGACTTACAATGCTAGAAACCGGGTTTTGATACCCGTGGTGGACAGAGCACAGATAACCCATGGTGTAGCTTTGTGCTTAATTAGAAACAAATCTTAATGTAGAAGAATCCTGCCCCCAAGTGGCACTGCGGTATGTCTACAGACTTACAATGCTAGAAACCGGGTTTTGATACCCGTGGTGGACAGAGCACAGATAACCCATGGTGTAGCTTTGTGCTTAATTAGAAACAAATCTTAATGTAGAAGAATCCTGCCCCCAAGTGGCACTGCGGTATGTCTACAGACTTACAATGCTAGAAACCGGGTTTTGATACCCGTGGTGGACAGAGCACAGATAACCCATGGTGTAGCTTTGTGCTTAATTAGAAACAAATCTTAATGTAGAAGAATCCTAAGCCCAACAACTAAATAGTATATATATTTATACTATTGTTATGACAGCGGAAGTCATGTGATGCTGGTAATACGTAATTAGTTCTAGAAAGATCGGGGAACATCATGAATAATCCAGTATTTGCTAGGCGCCCTCTATTCTTGTATATAAGTGTGCCAGATAAAGCGAAATTATTAATCAAACAGAGACATAGACGGACAATTGAGTCAAGCACGGTAGTAAAGTGCGTGAATCGTGGTGAATTATAGCGTGTGTTTAAGTTAAAGTGACTGTGGAAATTAAGTGTATTGCAAAGTTGAATTAAGAAAGAATAAACTAGTTTTATTTAAGAAAGGACTTGTATCGCTGAAGTTTCTTGGAAAGAATTTCTACGGAAAATTAACAAACGATCAGAGACATAACACTTAACAAATATAAGTAAAATCTATTTATTTCGACAATTGGCAAAAGAAAAAAAAACAGAACCCATATACATATATAATATTATTTTCAAAATCTTACAATTAGGTAGTGCTAATTTCTTGTTACTTCATTATTTGATTAGGTAGTGCTAATTTCAAAAGGAAGTAAAATTTCAAGACTAAAAACAAAAGTATGAAGCTATAATACTTGAGTTGGCTTTATTGATGGTATTTATGTATTAACTTAGAAAATTTAGTTTTATTTTATTTAGGTATTACATGCTTTTTTTTTGTCGATCACTAATCGATTGTTGTTGATAAAAAAAAATTTTAATTATTTTTGTATGCTAAGTAATTAACTATTTTTGTTTTGGTAATATGTTTGTGTCAAATTAAGCAATGTTCAAAAATGTCTGTTTCTTATTTTACTTTGTTTTTATTTCAGTACTACCCATTTTTCCATGAAAAAAAATTGCATGAAAAGTTTTGATTCATCAAATGATTCATCTACTTCAACCAATGGGCAAAAATTAATGAGGTGTTCAATGGAAGCTATGAATAGGAAGGTTTGTAGCAAGATGTTTCCTGTATAATAATGTATTATAAACTGTATATATATTTTTGATGTTGTTGTTGTTTAGATGTTAACTAGAGGATGCATGATGTTATTGTTGAAAAGTTCAATAATGTAGGTCTAGACAGTTCTACAAATTTGGACTTCAGGTTTTCTAGTAAATTTGAGAAGTAGATTGTAAGTATGAGGTTCAGTGAAACATCAAGATAGTGTTTCTATTAAGTAGAGTGAATCAGTCAGTGTTTCTAGTAAGTAGAGTGAATCAGTCAGTGTTTCTAGTAAGTAGAGTGAATCAGTCAGTGTTTCTAGTAAGTAGAGTGAATCAGTCAGTGTTTCTAGTAAGTAGAGTGAATCAGTCAGTGTTTCTAGTAAGCAGAGTGAATGAATCAGATAGTGTTTCTAGTAAGCAGAATGAATGAATCAGTCAGTGTTTCTAGTAAGCAGAATGAATGAATCAGTCAGTGTTTCTAGTAAATAGAATGAATCAGTCAGAGAGTGTTTCTAGTAAGTAGAATGAATCAGTCAGAGAGTGTTTCTAGTAAGTAGAATGAATCAGTCAGAGAGATTCATTCATTCTACTTACTAGAAACACACTTACTAGAAACACTCTCTGGAATGAATGAATCAGAGAGTGTTTCTAGTAAGTAGAATGAATGAATCAGAGTGTTTCTACTAAGTAGAGTGAATCAGTCAGAGAGTGTTTCTACTAAATAGAGTGAATGAATCAGATAGAGTTTCTAGTAAGTAGAGTGAATGAATCAAAGTCTTTCTAGTAAGTAGAGTGAATGAATCAGATAGTGTTTCAGTTAGCGGTGAATCAGTCAGAGAATGTTTTTGTTTCAGTTAGTGGTCAATCAGTCAGAGAATGTTTTTGTTTCATCTAGTGGTGAATCAGTCAGAGAACGTTTTTGTTTCAGGTAGTGGTGAATCAGTCAGATAATGTTTTTGTTTCAGTTAGCGGTGAATCAGTCAGATAATGTTTTTGTTTCATCTAGTGGTGAATCAGTCAGAGAATGTTTTTGTTTCAGCTAGTGGTGAATCAGTCAGCGTGTTTTTGTTTCAGCTAGTGGTGAATCAGTCAGATTGTTTTTGTTTCAGCTAGTGGTGAATCAGTCAGAGTGTTCTTGTTTTCAGTTACTGGTTAGATCAGCCGTGAAGAACAAGTAAGTTTGTATAATACAGTTAGCGTGGCTGTGACTTTGGTCTACAAGTTACCACAGTGTTTAAGTTTGTAGAAATGTTAAGAAATAAACTAATTTGTTATTGTTATGTGGACAGGATGGAAATATCCCCAGATAATTTGAAAGAACTTTACAACAAATGTATTAATACCCAGGGGACATGGATGTATCTAATTCTTATTCACAAAGTTGATATTTTGCCTTTTAACATCCATAAATTTCAGCTCTATAAATTGTGTCAAACTACATTTTTTACTCCATGACCCAAATTCTTAGTTGACCGACATGTATTTCGTGTTCAAAAATTAAATAAGATAAGAAATAATACCAGAGCCTCAGTTACATGGTGGGAAAATACAAGATCTATCCTGGTTGTGGTGAAGTGGGACCCATATAGCATTGGAGATACACCGTGTACTAGGTTTAATGTTCCTTTCCTTACTTATATTTTCTTACTTTTGGTTCTTAGTTAGGAGAGTCATTTTTTCACTCTAGACGAGATGTGGGTAAACTTTGTAAGACACCCCCTTACTATTTCTATATGTGTATGGTAAGTAGGTTTAAGCATATATTCTGAATAGGGAAAAAAAATTACACTAAATATAGAATCATGACTATTGCATATCAACCTGGTCTCAGAAGTCTTGAGAATAAAAATTTTAAATCATTTTCAAACTGGAAGTATTTCTAAGAAAAACTTTTTTTTTCAATGAGTGAAGCATAGTTTAAGGTGTTTTTAATGATCATGATATCATTTGATATTTTACTCATCCGTCACTCACATGTACTGATTATCAGAAGTTTATGAGATGAATTTTTGTTTTAAATTTGTACTGTTTATTCATACATTTTTCAAATCAGTTATATAGTAAATTATAAAGTTTAATATCTACATAATTAACTATACAAAGTAAATTCTCATTAATATGAGGCCTTCATTTTCTTGTTAGGTTTTATCAATTATTCAGTACGTTAAATGTTTTTAACAGCCAACAGATATCAATATTGAGTACATAAAACAATTGAGTCAGGTATTTATCATGGAGAAGGTCAGGGTAGATAAAATTATTTCATATAAACATAGAACACTATCAGATATGTGATGTTTCTAACATTATGTATCTTTAAGTTTGGGTTAGTACTTGCCAGTTGTAAGAAAGACATAAATGGATTTACTAGTGACCTACAGTAACAGGAAATCAAGTTTGTAATTTTCTTAATTCACATAATAAAAGCTGAAGGTTTATTTATATATCCAGTAAATTCACTTCATTATATTAGAAAGTTTAATGTTACGTAGTTATTAAGGTAAGGTGAGAGCAAACAGGTTATTTTATTTGTACATAAAATGCTTCATTAGTCTAAGAAGCTACCAGATAGAATGTTATGATTTTATGAGCTTAATGCTTCTTGACATACTTGGTGATTGATGACACGGTATTTAACTTTGTAACCCTTTTTTTATACATTTACTGCAGAGAAAGATTCCAAGATCAAATAGTTCCAGGAGTAGGTACTCTAAGAATTCTGGTCAGTGCTTAACCATTAAGCAGAATATATCTGACAGTGACGATGCATCTTCTCGAAATACTCTTGACACAATCATTCCTCCACCCACGAACTTTGAAGGAATCAACCATCCCTTCAGAGAACTAGATCAACCATTGAGTAGTTCTCCACAGTCACAACCAATGAAAAATCAGCTTAACGAAGATGACTTTCAGGACTTTAGGAATGGGGAATTTATAAAAAAAGTTAAAAGGAGAAGGAAGAGAGAAAATAACACTAAAAAGACGTGGGTGAATTTGTGTGGAAACAAACGACTGGCAATTGATAATGGCTTAGAAAACTCCCTAGTCAGTATTTCTAAAAACTTGAATCTTTCTCCTGAAAATCTGTACACCTCTGTAAGTAATTATCTTGGATCAACTAATCGTATAACTAGAGGTGAGAAGTTCAGAGTACTTGCACGGAGAGTGACACTTGAGGGCATTGTGCAGTATCTAATTGAATGGGGAGGTACACCAACGTAATAGAAATTAAAAAATAGGTGTACATGTGTAATTGTTTTCTCTTTACCTGGTCATGGTTATTAGACGAGAATGATTTTTTGTGTTTCTTGCTTCATTTGAACATGTAATTTTGTGGTTTTTAGCTACTAAAAATAATATTGAAGTTTTAACTTAACAGGTTTTTGTTAAAAATTAAAAAATAAACAGGTTGCACTTGAAGCATCTTATTTTGCTTATTTTTTGTTACTTTTTTAAATAAATAAAATTTTATTTTAGTTTCGAAGCCTTCATGAAAGCTTGATGAAAAAAAATATGATGGTAGTTCAGTAATTTTTAAAGATCATTGTACTTTCAATGTAAGGATCAGAAATTTAGATAAATATAATTGGTGGTTTTGAATACATTAAGTGAATAAAAAACATTTATAAATGTAAATAGTTTCATTTCATGGTTACTTGGTAATATGTGACTGAATTTATAAAATTGATTTTATTTCTTTTAATTGTCATTGTTAACATATGGCATTAAATTTAAATTTAATATTTGATAAAAACTGTAAGTGATAAGTATACCCATGATTTCCAAATTTATTTATGTCAAAGATCAGCTGCACTTAGGCTATCTATATATAGACACACACACACACACACACACACACACACACATGTATTTTGATCAAAACGTATTATAGGGACTTATGGAAAAAATATGAGCAATATGGAAACCCAAGGACCACACATTTACAAAGTTAGTCTGTATAATTACAAATTGGAGATTAGTTCATCCAATAAAGTTGTAACATGAAGTTTAACATTACGTAATTATTAAGGTATTTGGTGAGGTTAATTTAAACAGATTATTTTATTGATACATTAGGAGCTCCATCAGTTCACGTAGCTAAAGAATAAAACTGTTATGATTTACCAATTTTATGCAACTTGACGTACAGGATGATTGATGAGATGGTATCTAACATTGTAGCTGTTTTTTGTATAGATTTACTGTGTCACCTTTTGTTGAGTGTAGTTTAATGGTGCTTCATATCTATGATAAACAAATATGGACCATACGTGAAAATCATGCACACAACCAGCTTAGATGTTTTATCAAGTAAGAAGGTTGGTTTGGCTTGCATAATTGATATTTTTAGGTTTGTATAAGCTAGGCATCCAATGCATAGTACAAAAATATCGGTCCTTATAAAGAAAAGTCAGTTTTTTTCCCATTTTATTTTAAATTTACATGGTGTGGCTGATAAGTCCCATAAAGTATCAGCTGATTAAATGCTTACTCAATTATAGAGAGACAACTAGCATAATTACAAACTTCCATCAACTTCTGAGATGTATCCCAACTGCTTACTAAGCAGGAGAGGCAGCAGTAAACATTTTTGACCAGTTATTAGGATAGCACAGCAAGGAAAAATTGGATATATTTTTGCCAATGATGTAACACATAAAGAAACTGAGACCTAACCTTTGAACTTTGCACTGTACAGCGGAGTGAAGAATGTTCTATTAATAACATGGACAATTTGTCAACACCAAGGGATAGATGTTGAGGTGTGGCCAAGGTATACAATGACAATCTTGACTTTGTGATGGAGCTGTATGAAAACTTTGGCTTTGCATGGACAGTCATTTGGTTATAAGTGCAACACTAGCATAAGATGATAATCTTCCTATAGTGGAAGTCTAAAGCATGTTTTTTCATTTTATCAGTACACATTCTCTATTTATGGTGTTCCAGTAAAGCCCCCCCTCCCCACTAGTACATTTTAGTATTAAAATTATTTTTTGGTCACATTTGCATGCAAGTGCATTTTTGGAACTCAAAACCACATAATATACATATCTCTATTTAGTGCCGTGTGTTCATGGATATTACTCTGACAAATAGATGACCATCTTGGAGGAGGTTCCATGTTTTGAGGGCAATAGTTCTATGACCAGAGGTGTATAACAGATTTTTCTTTATCGATCTACAGGCAATACATATTTCAGGGAGTCAAATAAATCAATATACAAAAGTTAACCAACCAGAAGTGTGAAAAAAGTGCCTTTTCTTGCAACTCTGTTGTTAAAAAGTTTTCTTTTTACTTATGGAACGGACTTGTTTTCTATCTTTTATTGTTTCTATTATGTTTTATATAGCTAGTAATTTAGCTACTATGTTCAAAACAAGCAGGTAATCACATTTCTGTTCGTAAAAGTATTTAAATAGTGTAAACATTGTGAAACAAATTAAAAACTTGACCAAATTATACAGTTTATTTATACACTGTTGAGAGAGAAATTCGTGTTTAATTGATGGGATTACAGGTAATTATAATCTTGACACACTTAATGTTAATGTTTTCATCCAGTTAGTTGACAACATTATGGTATTATGCTGTATTGAATTTATGTTTTCATAGTCGTGCATTGAAAATCAAATTATACCCTGTTTTCAAAGAAATTTTCATTTATGAAACCAATTCATCAATAATTTTTTTCAGTGTATTGTTAACTGCAATGTACTTGCGCCCCACAAATATGTATGGAGAAAAGGCTAAGACACATCCACCGACAAGTTATTGATAAGGCAAACACGTATATAGTCATACCAGTTTTAAAAGTTACACACGGTTGGTTACATTCGTGTCCAAGAATATTTTTAGCACCAATTTTAGTCGTTACTTTACTTTTACGATATATAATCAATTAACAACTGCAACGACGTAAATAACATTTTTCTACTTGTTTAAAAACTGTTGTTAATTTTACTTTCAATATTTTATTCCGTACATTTTATGTTTTCTACAAAAATATTTTATTAAACGTAAGTTCTGTAGGTCAAGGAATTAAAAATGAAATTTGAGTGTTATGTACGAAAAGTACATTTTTTTTAGTAAAGTCCGTAATTATTGTAGTTTGTTTTTGTTGAGTGATGTTTAATTGTTGTTTGCTTGTATACCAATATTTGGGGAAAAAATAATGTTACGACAGCGGAAGTCACGCGACGCTGGGAGCATGCGCGCTGGAGTTTCTAGAAGGATCATGACTTATCGGGCAACCACACGAATGTCCCAGCGCTAGACGCCCACCTTTTTAGTATATAAGCCGGAGATAGATTGAAGAGAAATAATTGATAATTGAGTCAAGCGAACAGTAGGCAC